CGAGGAGATAAAGAGCGAGGATAGAAAAGGAAACGAGAAGAAAGGCTGGGAACAGTGCGGAGAAAGGGAAGGAAAAGGAAGAAAAAGGGTGAAGAAGTGAGAATGGGTATCGAAGAGAGGGGAAACAAGAGGAGAGATGTAACAGAAGACAGAAGGGAGAACGGACACGAAGAGCGGGAGGAGGGAGTGGTAGAGCAACACATCCCCACCCCCTCCCCTCCCTCCCCCACGCCCAACCAGCCCCTCCGGAGCGCCCGCGTCGACGGACACTTCTCCCAGCCCGGATATCCGCCTGCAGGTATATATAAGGCAACACGTGAGCCGCGCACATCCCGGCTCCTTTGGAGGATGACCTCATGGGTGCGGAGGGGCAAGGGAGGGCGGGGGAAGGTGCGGAGGGGCAAGGGAGGGCAGGGGAAGGTGAGGAGGGGCAAGGGAGTGCGGGGGAAGGTGGGAGGAGCAAAAGGGAAGGCTGGGAGGGGCAAGAAGGTGAGAAGTGAGAAGGGTTAGGGAGGGAGGGTGGGAGGCAGGGATGGGATGATCGCGGGAGGGAAGTTGGGGAGGTGCAAGGGAAGGTAGGAAGGGCAAGGGAAGGCTGGGAGGAGCAAAGGAAGGCAGGGAGGGAAAGAAGGGAGAGGGAAGGTGAGGAGCAAGGATGATCAAGGAGGGAGGGACGGAAGGTGAGAGGCAGGGTTGGGAGGAGGAGGAGGGCGGGAGGGAAGTCGGGAAGGGGCAAGGAGGAAGGAGGGCTGAAGGGAAGGGAGGACCAAGGGAGAAGGAGAAAGGTTGGGGGGGGGGCGCAGCACGGGAGACGGCAAGAGGTAGGGAGGGCTAGGCAAGGGAGAGAAAGCTAGGCAAGAGGGGAGGGCTAGGCAAGGGAAGAGAAAGCTAGGCAAGAGGGGAAGGGCTAGGCAAGGGAGAGAAGCTAGGCAAGGGGAAGGGCTAGCAAGGGAGAGAAAGCTAGGCAAGGGGAAGGCTAGGCAAGGAGAAAGGGCTTGGCAAGGGGAGCGGAAGCAGGGCGGGGAATGACGGAATGGAGAACCCCGTTGCTATCGGCCCATCTCTCTCGACGCCGTGCTGGTTACGCCACTAACAACTAAATTCTTGATGAGCGCGTGTGACTAACGACTTGATTACATGTAACACCTCGGTCTGCCGGGGCCGAGGACAACGAGAGTGCAATTAAGAGCGAGTGCCCACAGCAACAGCCTGGCTAATCGAAATCAGTGCCAGGAACTTGCAGAAACAGATTTATCCGTTTTCTTATCCGATTCCCAATCTCTGCTTCTGGTGAGGAATTCCAAAGCTTGATATTACAGTTTTCATGAGTACAATAACAATCCATCTTCATTTCTACTGACAATAACAGTCAGGGGTAATCCATTCTTTAGCAATCCAGCAAGCCGTCTCTTGATTTCCCTTATTCCGAAACAAAAGTAACTCGACCGAAAAAAACGTCCTTTACTACCAACAGAGTCGACAAGTTCGCCGACTGCAGCCAAGCCAGGTGAGGCAAACAACAGCCAAGCCAGGTCAAAGCAACAGCCAAGCCAGGTCAAAGCAGCAGCCGAGCCAGGTCAGGCAAGCAACAGCCAAGCCAGGTGAGGTAAACAACAGCCAAGCCAGGTCAAAGCAACAGCCGAGCCAGGTGTGGCAAGCAACAGCCGAGCCAGGTCAGGCAAGCAACAGCCAAGCCAGGTCAGGCAAGCAACAGCCAAGCCAGGTCAGGCAAGCAACAGCCAAGCCAGGTGTGGCAAGCAACAGCCGAGTCAGGTGTGGCACAGCCAGGTCAGCCAGCCGAGTCAGGCCAGGCAAGCAACAGCCGAGTCAGGTGTGGCAAGCAACAACCGAGTCAGGTGTGGCAAGCAACAGCCGAGCCAGGTCAGGCAAGCAACAGCCGCCAGGCCAGGCCAGCCGGCCAGGTCAAGCAACAGCCGAGCCAGGTGTGGCAAGCAACAGCCGAGTCAGGTGTGGCAAGCAACAGCCGAGTCAGGTGTGGCAAGCAACAGCCGAGTCAGGTGTGGCAAGCAACAGCCGAGTCAGGTGTGGCAAGCAAAGCCGAGTCCAAGCACAGCCAGCCAGGTAAGGCAAGCAACAGCCAAGCCAGGTGAGGTAAACAACAGCCAAGCCAGGTCAAAGCAACAGCCGAGCCAGCGGAGTCAGGTGTGGCAAGCAGCCGAAGGTCAGCCAACAGCCGAGTCAGATGTGGCAAGCAACAGCCGAGCCAGGTGTGGCAAGCACCAGCCGAGTCAGGTGTGTTCAGGCAAGCAACAGCCAAGCCAGGTCAGGCAAGCAACAGCCGAGTCAGGTGTGGCAAGCAACAGCCGAGCCAGGTCAGGCAAGCAACAGCCGAGCGCAGGTCAGGCAAGCAACAGCCGAGTCAGGTGTGGCAAGCAACAGCCGAGTCAGGTCAGGCAAGCAACAGCCGAGCCAGGTGTGGCAAGCAACAGCCGAGTCAGGTGTGGCAGCAACAGCAGTCAGGTGTCAAGCAACAGCCGAGTCAGGTGTGGCAAGCAACAGCCGAGCCATCAGGCAAGCAAGCCGAGCCAGGTCAGGCAAGCAACAGCCGAGTCAGGCAAGCAACAGCCGAGCCAGGAGCCAGGTCAGGCAAGCAACAGCCGAGTCAGGCAAGCAACAGCCCGAGGCCAGGTCAGGCAAGCAACAGCCGAGCCAGGTCAGGCAAGCAACAGCCGAGTCAGGTGTGGCAAGCAACAGCCGAGCCAGGTGTGGCAAGCAACAGCCGAGTCAGGTGTGGCAAGCAACAGCCGAGCCAGGTCAGGCAACCAACAGACGAGCCAGGTCAGGCAAGCAACAGCCGAGTCAGGTGTGGCAAGCAACAGCCGAGTCAGCAAGCAACAGCCGCCAGGTGTGGCAAGCAACAGCCGAGCCAGGTGTAAACAACAGCCGAGCAGGTCAAAGCAACAGCCGAGCCAGGTGTGGCAAGCAACAGCCGAATCAAAGCAACAGCCGAGCCAGGTGTGGCATTCAGTCAGGCAAGGCAACAGCCGAGGTTCAGGCCAACAGCCGAGTCAGGTGTGGCAAGCAACAGCCGAGCCAGGTCAGGCAAGCAACAGAGTCAGGTTCAGAGGCAAGCAACAGCCAGGTCAGGCAAGCACAGCCGAGTCAGGTGTGGCAAGCAACAGCCGAGTCAGGCAACAACAGCCAGTCAGGCAAGCACAGCCAGCCAGTCAGGCAAGCAACAGCCGAGCAGCAAGCAACAGCCGAGTCAGGCAAGCAAAAGCCAGAGCCAGAGGCAAACAACAGCCGAGCCAGGTGTGGCAAGCAACAGCCGAGCCAGCTGCAAGCAGCCGAGCCAGGTCAGGCAAAACAACAGCCGAGTAACCGCCACCAGCGAGCTAAAGCCAGCCCGCAGCAGTCCCAGCAGCATCGCCTCGATCCGGCGCTTCAGCATCAACCAGGAAGCGCGTCTTACGACCGCTGTCTCTCCTGCTTTGGGAGCACTGTCACGCACAGCCTCAGAGAGAGAGAGAGAGAGAGAGAGAGAGAGAGAGAGAGAGAGAGAGAGAGAGAGAGAGAGAGAGAGAGAGAGAGAGAGAGAGAGAGAGAGAGAGAGAGAGACTCCCCCAGCGCCTCAATGCCTGCTTTGTAAAACGACACTCAATTACAGGTGTGAGGAAAGAACAGGAATTTTAACCAAGGAGGCAACGCGAGAAAAATGAAAGCGAGGGGAAAACTCACTACCTCGCACTGCATCCTTATAATTGGATATCCAGTGAAAAAGAAAATCAACTCACGCCTGATGATCCTTACTCGAAACCATAATTATAGCCACGTGGGTCATTAACCTCCGACGCTAATTACCGTCCGTGTCGCCCCATCAACAACTCGCAGCAAGACACGCAAGAGCGGTGTCAGATGCCCACGGCACGTGAGGGCACGTGTTGTTGCCTGCCTGCTTGCCTTCCAGTCTGCCTGACTGTCTATCTGCATTCCAGTCTCATCAGTCCAACTGCTTGCCTGCCTCCCTGTATGCTTGCTTGTCTGTCTATTTGCCTACCTGTCTGTCTACCAGCCGACGTAGCCTGGCATTCCAAGGTGCCAGCGATAAGGCGCGGCAATATGACGTCACTCCCACGGTATACTGCAGCTTATTAAATCCCTTTGCAGGCAGATGCTACTGTGACGTCACAGTCGAGCCCCGACGCGTTTAATAACGTGCCTTATGGAGGGATACCACTGTGTGTGCGGCTCAGGAAAGAAGGGAAAGAGGGAGGAGAGGAACAAGAGGGAGAGGAGGAGGAGGAGGAAGAAGAAGAAGAAGAAGAAGAAGAAGAAGAAGAAGAAGAAGAAGAAGAAGAAGAAGAAGAAGAAGAAGAAGAAGAAGAAGAAGAGGGAGAGGAGCAGGGAGGGAGTAGACAGAAGGAGAGGAGGAGAGAGAGAGAGAGAGAGAGAGAGCGGTAGGGAGAGGGGGAGAGGGAGGGAGGGAGGAGGGAGGGAGGGAGGGAGAGAGAGAGAGAGAGAGAGAGAGAGAGAGAGAGAGAGAGAGAGAGAGAGAGAGAGAGAGAGAGAGAGAGAGTGAGAGAGAGAGTGAGAGAGAGAGTGAGAGAGTGAGAGAGAGAGAGAGAGAGAGAGAGAGAGAGAGAGAGAGAGAGAGAGAGAGAGAGAGAGAGAGAGAGAGAGAGAGAGAGAGAGAGAGAGAGAGAGAGAGAGAGAGAGAGAGAGAGAGAGAGAGAGAGAGAAGAGAGAGAGAGAGAGAGAGAGAGAGAGAGAGAGAGAGAGAGAGAGAGAGAGAGAGAGAGAGAGCCGCTGCATTGTTCCCGGCGAGAGGACCCCCTCGCCGCCCATCCCTTCAGGGCCCTCAGACCGGCGGGCCATTCCGCGCCGCAATCCCTTTAACGCGACTGCAGCGCCCCGAGAGGCTTATGCATATGTATCACGATGGTCTACTGCATGACCTGCCGTTGCATGGCCCGGCGAGAGGACCGCTGGTGCAATATGCTACGCGGGAAGTGCCACAGCATATAGACTGTAGCATATAGTCCCCGCGCCAGCACTCACACGCGCGCACAAAAGCATAAACATCCACGTACAAAGGGACTGCACCGTCCTCTCTGCTTTCCTTCCTCGTTCCCTTTCTTCCTTCCTTCCTTCCTCCACATCCTGCCTTCCTATCGCCCCCCCCCCCCCGCCCGCCGACCCACCCTCCACGTGGGAAAACCGACCCAAGGTGTACTCCGCCTGCCACTGCGGTCACCTCGCCGCCCCTGGAGCTGCGTTCGGCACTCAATCGATAGGCCTCCAGGCAGCTCCTTGCCCGCCCCTCCCTCCCCCTCCTCCTCCTCCTCCTCCTCCTCCTCCTCCTCCTCCTCCTCCTCCCTCCTCCTCCTCCTCCTCCTCCTCCTCCTCTCTCTCTCTCCTCTCCTCTCCTCTCTCTCCTCTCCTCTCCTCTCCTCTCCTCTCCTCCTCTCTCTCTTCCTCTCCTCTCCTCTCTCTCCTCTCGTCTCTCTTCCTCTCGTCTCTTCTCTCTCTCGTCTCTCTCTCTCTTCTCTCTCGTCTCTCTCCTCTCGTCTCTCTCCTCTCTCTCTCTCCTCTCGTCTCTCTCCTCTCGTCTCTCTCCTCTCGTCTCTCTCTCCTCTCGTCTCTCTCCTCTCGTCTCTCTCCTCTCTCTCTCTCTCCTCTCTCCTCTCTCTCTCTCTCCTCCTCTCTCCTCCTCTCTCCTCTCCTCCTCTCTTCCTCCTCTCTCCTCTCCTCTCCTCTCCTCTCCTCTCCTCTCCTCTCCTCTCTCTCTCCTCTCTCCCTCTCCTCTCCTCTCTCCTCTCTCTCCTCTCTCCTCTCCTCTCTTCTCTCCTTCTCTCTTCCTCTCTTCTCTCCTCTCCTTCTCTTCTCTCTTCTCTCCTCTCTTCTCTCCTCTCTTCTCTCCTCTCCTCTCCTCTCTCTTCTTCTCCTCTCTCCTCTCCTCTCCTCCCCTCTCTCCTCCTCCTGCGCCACTTCCCATTCCTGTGGCACGGCCGCTGCCCGCTTGCTCGTGCATTTACGACACACGTTTGTCCTTTCACTTTCTTATCCTTTTTTCACTTTATCATTTTCCTTTTTTATCCAATATTTCTATCATATCACTTATTTTTCCTTTTACTCTTATACTCTATTCCTTGTCTTTAACCTTTTTTTCCTTCTCCCTCAATCATTCTCTCACATCAATTCTTAATTCCGATCTTGTAATAACTTCAGTAATCTCTCTCTTTCTCACTTACTCCTTCTCCCATCCCTCTCTTCCCTCACTCACTTACTCACCACTCGCTTATACTCACTCACTCGCTCATACTCGCTCACGCACTCGCTCGCTCATACTCGCTCACTCATACTTGCTCGCTTATACTCGCTCACTCACTCGCTCGCTCATACTCGCTCATTCACTCGCTCGCTCATACTCGCTCACTCACTCGCTAGCTCATACTCGCTCACTCGCTCGCCACACTCGCTCACTCACTCGCTCATACTCGCTCGCTCACTCACTCGCTCACTCACGCCCTTCCCAAACCCGAAAACCCACACACCTCAAAACCTGCCAGTGACCCCGTGCTTTCCCCTTACACCGCGGCGAAACACGAGGCGTTCGCTTGCCCGCCGCTCACGCCGCCTAAACTACCCCCGCCCCCCACGAGTCACGTGCCGCCCGTAACCTCACACCCTCACGCACTCACAACGCATGACACCGCAACTCATAACGCCATGTCTGGGGGGGGAGGGGGAGGGTAGGGGGTCTTTCCTGCGATCACGTGACCCAGCTCAATTTCCAGTACCTGCCGTTTGCCTGTTGATTTTTTCTTTCAAAAAACAATGTATTTCATTGACATTTTCTTAAGATGGGATGCTCATACGGAAGTCTTTTTATTCTTACTTGTACTTCCTAGCCCATTTATTTTTATCGTTTCCCCTTTCTCGCCTTTCACACCTGATCCATCAGGATGGGAATCATGCAGCTTCAACTGCACATAAAATCATTATTTCGATGAGACACTGAATAAATAAGCAGATAAATAAACAAATAAATGAACAAAATAAATAAATAAATAACAAAATAAATATGAACAAATAATAATAAATAAATAACAAATAACAAATAAAAAAACAAATAACAAATACAGAAATTAAAAAATATCAAATACAGAATGAAACAAATAACAAACATAAATAAATGAACAAATAACAAAAACAGAAATGAACATATAATAAATACAGAAATGAACAAATAACAAACACAAATAAATTAACAAATAACAAACACATAAATAAATTAACAAATAACAAATACATAAATGAACAAACAACAAATACATAAATAAATGAAGAGATAAATAAAACCTAAACAAACGAACAAATAAATATAAATCATGAACAGACACATCACTATTGCTCCCAGCAATCTTCACTCCAGCACGATGCCGGAAGCTGCGTCGCGCTCGAGATAAGGGGACAAGACCCCCCTCGCCATCCCCTCCCCTCCCCCCTCCGCGCCTGGAGACATCTGCATGGCACCTTCGCTCCTGCGGCCGCCTGCATCGGGACTGTGCCAAGGGAAGGGGGCGAGGAGAGGGAGAGGGGAGATGAAGAGGGAGAGATGAGAGAGGGAGAGGAGAGAAGAGAGAGGGGAGAGGAGGAGGAGGGAGGGGAAGAAGAGAAGGAGACGGAGAGGGAGAGTGGAAGTGATGATGACTGACAGGGCGCCGGCAACGATGACTGACAAGGGAAGGCGCCACGGAGCAAGGAGAAGAACCGCCGCTCTTAGTTACCGCCCCACCGCGCCACACGACCAGCCCCGAGTGACCGAGGCCGACGCCAGAGACACACAGACAGATAAGTGAACGCACGCACGCACATACATATAAACTATGCAACACAACTCAACACACACACAATATCTACAGTATATCCACTTGTGTATTTTATAGCTATCTATGTAATAAAATGACAAGTACGCTTCATAATTTTTATAATAATTATCATTATTATAATCAACATCATTATCATCATTATTACTGCTACAACTATTATTACTACTATTACTATTGCCATTATCATTATAATCATCATTACTTATCATTTATCATTATAATTATCATTATCATCATCATCATCACTATCATAAACATTATTATCACCATTATATAATATTACTATCGTCATTACTATCATCAGTATCATTATCCTCTTTATTAATGATAATAACAATAATAATAATAATAATGACGTTCGAGGATGACACGAAACAAAGGGAATGTCAGCAAACAAAACAAATACAGCACAATACTCTCGCCGTTCTGGGCAAAAATCAACAAAAGCAGTCATGACAAAGGCACTAATCACGCCACCAAGACGAACCTGAAATGAATCCCACCCTTTCACACTTTCCCGCCGGCCTTTCACCCTCGCAGGCAACCAGCCGCCGCTCTCTCTCTCCCTCTCTCTATATATCTTTCTATCTATCTATCTATTCATCTATCTTTCTCCTCTCTATGCCTGTCTGTCTCTCTCTCTCCAGCTCTTTACGTCTGTCTTTGTATGTCTGTCTGTCTTTACCTCTCTCTCTCTAGCTCCATGTGTATCCCAGTCTCTATCTTCACATCCTTTTTTCTTTTTCGTTCTCTCTTTGTTCGAGGAAACGTTTTTCCGCCAACGTTTCCCACCCTCGTCCACCAGCACGCCCTGGTAGATCATTTTTTATTTTCATTTCGAAACATTTTATTTATCCTTTCGTTCTTGTCTACAGTTTCCTATTATTGTGTTTGCTTGCTGCTATTATTTTAATTTCACTGCTGCTGATAATGATAATGATAATGATAATGATAATGATGATGATGATGTTGATAATAATGATAATGATAATGTTTGATGATGATGATGATTGATGGTGTTCTTGATGATTATGTTGACGGTGTTGTTGGTGGTGTCACTTATGATGTTAGCCTTGTTTTCTTTTCCAATCATCTATTGCTATACGTTACCTCCCTCTCATTTTCCTTCTCCTTGCAGGCTCCCTCTTAACAACCTTATTCTCCTCTTTCCCTTTGCTAACTATTATTTTTCTATTCCCGATTGCTTCCTTTGTACCTTCCTCTCCCCCTCACCCTCCACTCATCCCTTTTCCCCCACATCCATCCCACCCCCCATCACCCCTTCCTCTCCCCACCTCCCCGTCATCCCTCCCCCTCTCCCTTTTCACTCCCTCAACCCCTCACCCTGGCTGTCAGTCAAAGCTCCCCTCCCATCCGCCTCCACCGCCAATGGCTCCCTCCACCGCACACTCTACCACTTGACGGGTGCATTATCGCCACTTAATCCACACCAAAGAGACAGTGTAAGTGTAATTCTTACACTTGGATTTTTATGTTTTCCTCCCTTTTCCTATTTGCTAACCTGTTAATCCGCAGAGAAATGAGAGAGAGAGAGAGAGAGAGAGAGAGAGAGAGAGAGAGAGAGAGAGAGAGAGAGGGAGATCGAGAGGAGAGAAGAGAGAGAGAGAGAGAGAGAGAGAGAGAGAGAGAGAGAGAGAGAGAGAGAGAGAGAGAGACGAGACGAGAGAGAGAGAGAGAGAGAGAGGAGAGAGAGGCAGAGTGATGGAGCAGTGTCATTTGCCTTTGCAACTCACGACCTCACGGACCGTGCTTTTCCTAATTCTTTCTTCCTTACTTCTAGCTCTACTGTTATTTATAATAATCTATTTCTCCCCCACTCACTTCTCCTCAATCACTTACTCTTTCACCCACACGCACACGCCCCACACCCACACCAACACAACACACACACACACAACAACACACAACACACAACACACACACACACACACACCACACACACACACACACACACACACACACACATTCACTCTCTTTCGCTCGCTTTACCCCCCTCCCCCTCTCTCTCTCTCCCCTCCCTCACTCTTCCCTCTCCCTCTCTCTCTCTCTCTCTTTCTCCCTTCCCTCTCTCCCCTCTCCCTCTCTCTTCCCTCTCTCGTTTCTCCTCTCTCCTTCTGTCTTCCTTC